TATAGAACATGGTTGGTCATGTAAAAAGGATGAGGGAATTTTAGAGCAACTTCACTCCCTGAGATATTCCTGTCTTTTCTTCGGGTTTATCCAGAATTATTATACTCGTACATCCAGCAAATCCAACGTTGATTCGCTGTGATCTGCTACTCAGTTGCTGCACACCAGGTCCCACACTGCTATCTTCCTCTGACAGCCAGCCCATTGGGAGCCGTATGCCTCTTCCTGGTTCACACAGCCAGCCCCTGATCATGTACCGCCAGGTTTGCCCTTCAATGCCACCAGGTCTGCCCTCCTTCAGCACCGTGTATGCCTCAGCTGAAGCCTCCTGGGATATTTGACTTGGATATCCCAGGAGGCTGCAGAAGCAGGGCGCACACCATTCTCACCTTGGCGAGAATGGATGAAGGGGGCGGTGTGGATTTGGAATTTACCAACAAAAGTAAATAAGCACAAAAAAATTTTTTTAAAAGTAATTTCTTTTTACATTGCGGAGTGCCCTGTCCAGATTCAAGGCCCCTGTGCCAGACGCAGCAAAGCGTCCCTAAAGCATAACTAAGCCTCCCTCCTGTTTACAGTAAGGTCCCATCAGTTTTGTCCTTGCCATTTTCATGTTTTATTATTCAAAATATTCTGTTAAAGCAAAGTCTGATTTTGATTAAGAATGGATTCCAGGTTGGTTGCCAGATACTTTTATCGGGTTTAAGTTATGCCAAGAGGATTGTGGGTTCTTTTCTGGAAGGGTACCCACAAATTTGCCAACCTCTAACTTAAAAACATAATGAGCTCTCCTTTTAAGATTTTAGATATTCTTCAGAAGTTTTTCCTCCATGAGCAGTTTATTTTTCCAATGGTCCTTCGCCATCAATCTCTCAGCATTTTTAACCCATGCTATAACAGTTGCACATCATTGTAATTAATCCTCATTTATTAATGTCACAGTTTAATAACCATAAACTATGTTGATGATGAAAAATTGGATAAGATGTTCAATGACCTTGAGATGTGGAAGACATGATTTAATGATTTTCTCACATCACATATTTAAAGTACGCCAATCACTCCTAAACTATGGACGCAGACATTTTGTGGACTCACATGCGTCAAATGATGCTGCCTGCTAATTTATTATGAACTAGTGACATCATAAAGAAAAAGTGTTGGGAACAGTCAGACAGTGGAGCACCTAGTGAAGTGGGAATAGCTATTGTCTCCTCCCACTGCAGGGATTAGGGGAAAGTGAAGAGGGTGAAGTTTACAAATCCAAAACTCACTTGAGTCATTTTGAACAATCGGCATCTCCCACAGAATTTGGATCCAACAAGGCTTGTCAGGTGAGCAACGGAATCCAACATTTCTTGAGAGAATCTGCATCTGTTCTCTCAGCTGAAAGTTGTATTGGATTTTTTCACTTGCCCAAAAAGTGTCCCTCTTGTAATGTAATCAATTCTTTTCACTGTTTTTAATTTTTAGGTTTTAATCTTCTTATTAATTTTCAAATGGTCAACACAATACATACACGATAGAAATTATAGATCCATCTAAAGACAAAACACATATTAAATTAAAATGAAACAAAGAAAAGTACAAAAAAGACACTATTTCAAATTTGAACATTCATATTAATCAACTCAATTTATCATCATTACACATTTTGATCCCACCCCTCTGTCTCACTATTCTCTCATGTGAACATGAGTTGGCTAAACATGTGGCGGAAGAACCTATTGCGAACGTAGCCAATCTGAGGGGAACCATGTACCACTGTTGCAGTAGCTTGTAAATAGATTCAATAGCTGAAGGACTGGACGAACAATGAACGGTGGTGTCCCAGATCTGAGCCCATTTTCTGTCCTCCAACTGCTTATCTACTCCCTCGATCAGGGACTTATAAATGGTAGAAAGGGCTCCTCTTCCATGAGAATTGCGCAGACAGTATTGCTCAAACTTCGTCAACTTAGTGGGTAACCCAACATTAGATAAAACTAGAATAAAACTCTATCGGCAAGTAGTGAAATACATCAGACTGGGGCAGTTTATATTGAGCCTGTAGCGAATGAAAAGTCATATTCCCTGATTCAGTTAAGAATTAAACATACATTTGTGTCCAAGCTTGGAAGCTAGATGGTTCCTCATACCCAGGAAGAAAAAGTGGATCATAGATAATCATTACTAGGGGAAAATGACTTGCCGAAATATTGAACTGCATCCCATAAGAGTATGTTTATAGCAGTTTTAAAGGCTGGTCGTTTTTCACCCTAATGCATTCTCTGGACACTTACCTGTGTCACCGTTATCACTGCCGCCACTCCCCGAAGTGTTCATCCGTTCCCTGAACTTCCTGGTTGTGGGGGGAGGATACTGAGGGCAGAGGCGCCATAGGTTCCTTCTGCCGTCCGTCAAACAAGGAGAGAAGGGGCGTGGCCTGCTACAGGTCTGTATGTGTCTATGGACGCACAGGTGCCTCCACAGCAGCTGCTTAGCTGATTGAGTCACCCGTGCAGGGGTCCCCCCGAGAGCGATGCGGGGACCCACTAGAAAATGAGGAGCTGAAATTTTTTTTGTTAAGAAAAACAACAAAGTATTTATAAAAAAGGTGGCCTCCTAGGTGTAAAAAAAATAAAATAAAAAATCCAACAAAACCCGAAGCTTTAATATCACTTTAAGCATTGGGTTTATATGTTTCCATCTCGATACCGGGACCCATAGCAGAGTATCTACAGCAATCGGACCAGCTTCTATTGCTTTCATATTCACTCATAACAGAGTAACCACAGTGAAAAAATAAGAGAGTAAAGGTGCGATCTGTCCAGCATAGTAATAATTAGGGATGCACTCATAGCGGGCATTTGGGCGAGTACTCATAATTGCCCCGATACCGAAACTTCAGGTCAGAGGGAGATCTCCCTCTGATAGACATTGCCGCGAGGGAGCATGGAGCCGCGAGGGAGCATGGGTTATGACCTGCATCCTGGCTTCCTAATTGGCTCGGAAGCCAGCTGCACTTATTGCTAGGTAGCCTGGCTTCCTGATTGGCTAGGAAGCCGGCTTTACTTATGGCTTGACAGCCTGGCTTCCTGACCAATCATGAGCCGCCTGGCTCACCATGATTGGTCAGGAAGCCAGGCTGCCTAGCAATAAGTAAAGCTCGCCTCCTTGCTCCCTGGTTGGTCAGGAAGCCAGGCTGTCTAGCAATAATTGGTAGACCTGCCTCCTGATTGGTCAGGATGCCTGGAATCATGAAGCCTGATTGGCTAGGAAGCCGGCTTCATTTGTTGCGAGGCAGTCTGGCTTCCTGACTAATCGGGCAGCAGGTCATGAGCCACCTGGCTTTCTGGTTGGTCAGAAAGCCATGCTGCCTCGCAGTGTTGGGAGGGAAGTGAAGCCGGTGTTTTTTTAATTTTTTTTATAGAACACTGGCTTCCTAGGCAATCAGGAAGCCTTCCTGATAATTCGGCACCCTCGGATGTCGATATTTGGTATACCAAAAAAACAGTATTAATGCATCCCTAGTAATAATTAGATGGGGAACAGAAAGTCCTCTTATGTTGCAATTGAAAAATAATGTTTTTAGAGACGCATGTTTTAAGTCCTGCCCATATAAACTGGACTTAAAAGCTGTTGGAGTGACTTTATAGATATTATATACATACAGGTGAATAATTAGAATATCGTTCAAAAGTAATTGCAGTAAATGCTGCAAAAGGGGCCCAAACCAAGTACTGAGTACATATGCATGCTTGTACTTTTCAGAGGTCCGATATTGTTCTATGTACAATCCTTATTTTATTGATTGCATGTAATAATCTACTTTTTTGAGGTTGTGGATTTGGGGTTCTTGGGGTTTTCATGAGCTGTAAGCCATAATCATCACAATTATGACAAATCACGGCTTGAACTAGCTTGCTTTGCATGTAATGAGTCTATCTCATATATTAGTTTCACCTTTAAAGTTGCATTAGTGAAATAAATGAATTTTGCACGATATTCTAATTATTCGAGTTTCACCTGTATAGCTAATGAAATATTAATAGGTAGAACCCTAAAAGGATACCAAATTTGAGGATGCAAAGTCATCTTCACTGCCGCTATTCTTCCTAGCCATGATATTTAATAGTGCTTCCAGGATTCCGCCAGTTGTTTGATTTGATGTATTAAAGGTGGAATATTCACCTGGTATAAAGATTAATAGCTAGGCATAATACGCACCCCCAAACAGGTATTTGTCTGGGGTTCCCACATAAATGAGTAAGCATCCTGCGGCCTTTGTGCTATATCCACTGACGAAGCTTTAGATTTAGAGCAATTGATTTGAAAGCACGAGATTTTCTCAAAATTGGAAATGAGATTTTCCAGGTTTGGCAATAATATAAGGGCGTGGTTATAAAAAAGGCAATATCACCCGCAAACAAAGATATTTTACCCTCTTATTTCCATACCCCTTATATTTTGATTTTCTTTTATTGGCATAGCCACATGGCTCAATTCTTATCTCTGAAAGGAATTTCATAAGTGAGTTTAGTAACAAAAATGTTTTACTTTATTCCCCATTTAACAAGGTGAGAGTATTTTTGTGTTAAAGAAAGCAATGTAGGCTGTCATTGATGACCATTCCATTGAATAGATTATTGTCTGCCATGCTGATCTAAAAGATTGTTTGTTCTAAATCACCATCCTAGAGTGAGTGTTTGGTTCAGTGGGTCTGACTTTGGCAATGTCCCTGAGGAATAACCCAACATTGAAAATCTAGTAAAAGTTTTTTGGTTTTTTTTCTTGGCGTTCACATTGCCATAAATCAGAAGTATTCCTTTGCCTCATAAATAGTTCTAACACCATAACACTGTGGATGGCTAATTTGTTTAAAATACAGTACGTTCTATTTTTGAGCTATAGAAATCAAGGACCATATAAGTAACTTGTTTTATGCCATGCATCCTTTTTGTGATTTTTTTTTTTCCACCCCCCCCCCATTTTCTTACCCCTGTCTTGTATCTTTCCAGGTCCCAACACTTATGATGATGCTTGCGCTTACATTCAAGCACAATTTGAGAGCAAAAACCGCTCACCCAACAAAGAGATCTACTGCCACATGACTTGCGCCACAGATACGAATAACATCCAGGTGGTATTTGACGCCGTCACTGACATCATCATTGCCAACAACCTCAGAGGCTGCGGCTTGTACTGATTCCTCTGTATAGCAATTTATTTGCTGGTGAAAATAAAATGCAAGTTGTTAAAATGAGAAGGCGAAATGAAAAACATATATATAAAAAAAATTTTAGGTTGTCTCAAAGAGCTGTCAACAGAATGGATTTCTCTGCTTCCCCCTTTTCCTACCCCTAAAGCAGAAGGTGGTTCTTGATTTTTAAGAATCTCTTCGGGTGTCCTATAATTCACCCTTTTAGTTCTGAGAGAGCCTGAGTCGTAATTTCAACCTCTCTCCAGAGTCAATGAGGGTACAAAAATATCTTAGATAAAGGGGAGATCATAAATCTATTTCAATCCTTTTTTTAAGGATTTTTGTGATGCTTCAACGATCACACTCTGCTTCCCCATTAAAAACAAAAAAAGAATCAGGTACGTCCTTTCTGTTCAGCTCTTGGGTTACAAAACAACAAAAATAAAAACAAAACATTTTCCAAACCAGGTAGAAGTGTTTGTGAGACTTGCAGGACAGTGCACTCAACATTTTTTTTTGTAAGTTTTTTTTTTTTGTGGGTGCTGTAACTGTATGAGGGTCTGTGAGGGTTCAAGGGATGCCCCTCTAGTTTGATAAAAGCTCAGAAGTGGGCCCCTTTTTTGTCTTGAAAAGGTTTCAGTGCCAACCCAAACTGCGGAGTCAGGGGAACAGTCTCCAAGAATCTCGGGGGGGGGTGCCTACCCCGCTGTCCCTCCTTTCTCCGCACTGCTCTACGGACCCTCAAATTGACGTTCTGCTGGTAGCATGACCTTTGGCCTTTGTAATAAAAAGACAAAAAACAAAAAAACACAGCCTTCCTTAAAAGTTGATGTGTAATGTTATCACTGAATTAGTGGCTGCATAGGATGCTGTAAATCTGGTTTAGCTAAGTCTGTACATTTAGAAGAAACTAAACTGTTTTCTTTTCTTTTTTTTCCCACGTGCTTGTAGCTTAACACCACCTCCCCTAATATTATTAATACCATTTTTATTTTCTTGCACCAGTTGTAAACAAGCATCTTTTTAATTGTCTGAGACCCCTTTCACTGCCCAAGAGGTCAGCTTGGCCTCCAGCAAAGAATGGGATCATGGAAGTCCATGTTCTTTTGGGGGAATTGGGGTTATTTCTGTTGGACTTGAAGCCCTACGTAGAAAACGAAAAAAATAAAATAAGAACCCGAAGACACAAAGAACTTTCTGGGGTTATAGAATTGTACAGATGCGATTCTGTTCAAGTTTCCGTACTCTGGACTGTATACCATGCACTCTCTGGGTTTGTATAGAAAAAGCACAGCTCTCACTAAACCTCCAGCTGCCAGAATTTTTCTCCTATTAGGGATTTTTGCTCTCAATTTCCATGTATTACGAATAGCCTTCTTTTCTTTACAATCTCCTTTTTTTTCCCAAGAGCGAAAAAAAAAAACTTTAAAAAAAGCGGAAAAAAAAGACAAAAAAAATAAATTTAATCGAATGTAGTGTTTACATTAAATCCACAGTTTTCATGACCAAACCTTTGTCATTTCTACTTTGATTAGAAGTCAGACTTCTTCACCATTTCACTTGCAAACTGAAGAAGAGCGGTCACAAATGTTAAAGAAAAAAAAATAATGAAAAAAAAAATTTCAAAAAAACTTAAATGATTCAATAAATGAGCGAGAAATGAAGCTGGGGTGTGTTCTTTGTATTGCAGAGCGCTCAGTTTGGTGCTGCCAGCCACTCTCGTAACTAATGGAAACTCGTATGTAGCTTAATAAAGAGAATGTTTGTCTGTACAGAATTGTCTCCAAAATTCTGCTCTTTTATCATCATGCCACTTCATAAATACACCATGTTATTCATTTAAAGAGCATCCTAAAGAGGAAGTCTGTGTAGTGTGTACATGAGTCTAGCCATAGATATATGTTAGTCTTACAGGCACCATCCAGCTGCACAGGGCTGTATCTGTCAACTGGCCACATCCTCAACATGAGCATCAAGTTCAACCTTGAATGAGGAGTGGTTACTTCCAGTGTTGGGTCTCAGGTCAACAATTACAATCAGATAATTGGGGGAATTTATCAACACTGGAGCAGAGAGAATCTGGAGCAGTTGCCCATGGCAACCAATCAGCATCTCTCCAGTTTGCCCAGGAAAGATTTAAAAATGAGACAGAGAAGCTGATTGGTTGCCATGCAGAGCTGCTCCAATTTTGATAAATTCCCCCCAATGTGTTTAAACATTTCCAGTTGATCTTTTCCCCAGATCAGTCAGCCAGGAGGTATCTTCCAATGGTGATCATGAGTTTGTTGTGAAATCTAAAATTGGCCGGATTTGGTGATATCTTAGGTCCTTTTGGCCAATTTTACACTTGCCTCAGGTTTTATACTTTCTTCCATGTACCTCATCCTGCAGTGTGTCAGCTGAAAACCTTACAAGGGGTTTGTGGGAGTGGTGCTGGATCTGAGGGTCTTATTTGGTCCTTATGATGTGGAGAAGTGTAGGTTTTGTAGTGACGGTATAACAATTAGGCTTCTTCTAAACCATGGGTAGCCAAACTACGGCCCTCCAGCTGTGGTGAAACTACAAATCCCATGATGCATCTCTCTCCGGGAGTCGTGGCTGTGAGAATCTGGCAATGCCTCATGGCATTTGTAGTTCCACCACAGCTGGAAGGCCGGAGTTTGGCTACCCCTGTCCTAAACCAAGAAGAAAATGAATGCAGAAAAGGATTAATCAATGTGGTGCTTAGGTGCCAATGATCAATTTTATTATGAGTTATTAGCCTAAACGCCCCAGTAGCATATTTAATTGGAGCCTTCAGTAAGTGAACTCTTGAAAATCTTCCAGTTATTTCTTCACTGTTTCCAGAGCTGCTTCTGTTTTATAAATGGCTTTTTCATTTGTGACGACCAGTTACAAAATCCTGAGGAGTTGCCAACTTAACTATGGAAATTTCTCAAGTCAAGGTGCGCCAGTGCAACCTGAAGAGACCCCATAGCTCAGGCTAATGCTATGGGGGTTCTCTGGCTGCTGCTGACCTATGACTCCTAGCACTCTCTCTTGATAAATGTATCGACATTGGCAGGTAAGTCGGCAGCATTCATGCATATTCATTTTTTTTTAGACACCGCAATAAAGAAAAATCACTCCTAAAGTCATGTTTTAAAATGTGTTTTGAAGGAATCTTGGCCTCTGCAGTTTGGAAGACCTTCGTATACCATCCAATTACAATGAAATAAAATCTGGGCTTTTATAAGTAAAAAGCTAACATTCAGCAATTTTGATTTTGTAATTGTTATTATGATATTCTTGACAATGTCATTATGAATGATGTATTTTCCTTTGGCCTCCTTGTACCACTGGCAAGGATTTGCAGAACTTAAATACTGAAATGTATCTAAAGCTGAAACGTTATATTTTTGTTGGACCCATGCCAGGTTTTTATTGCTTTTGGTGTCCCCGCTGTGGAGACTTACCACTCTAATTGTCCTCTTGTTCATTGTCTCCAGAAGTGGAAAACTCCAAATTTGTAGTTGTCATTATAACAGGAATAGAGGGGAAATCCCCCAATGGAGATATTTGTTCTGATGACAGATGTAAAAGGAGGATTGCCTCCCTCTTCTGTTGGCTTTGCAGGAAGGGGATTCCATCCCCCCCTCCCCATTGGTACACAGAGGACAGAACATAACTGACAAGGCTTTTAGCTATTCCCTACTGATATCCTAAATTACAAAATTGTTTTGGCTTTGGATTTACTTTATAAGATAATTAGTAACATTCTACACATACTGGTTGACCTGAATATTTGGGTATGAGAAAATGTGCAAGAATACTAGAGCATTACAAAGTATAACTTTAAAAAAACAATAATTCTGACAACCTTTATGTACATGAGATCTGAAATTGTAATGAGTATGTCCTTATGTCCTATTTCCTCAGCAATATCTATATTAGTACGAATGTGATGTATGTGGTTGGCCAGCTGTCCTAATTTTGCTCACTGTTGAAGGAGAACTATGACATGAGTGCTTTTCACTCCCCTCATAGTTCTAGCTGACCTGTGACAATGAGACTGTCACAGGTCGGCTCAGTAGATCGGGAGGTGAGCGAACACATACCGGCGTTTGCTCACCTCTCGATCCTGTCACGGCGCTCTGCCGTGACGGGAGGGGCTGGATTCCCCCCGCTCCACCAGCGCTGACTGGGGGAGGGGGCGGGTACAGCTGGTTCTGCCTCTAGATAGGCAGAGCCAGCTGTCACTCACGCAGCTGGGTGGATCCAGACAGAATTGTTGGGATCCGCTTCAGCTGTGGCGTCTCAGTATACCGCGAGCAGTAGCTTGCGGTATACTGAGCTTAGGGTGACGGGAGGACGCTTGTTTGTGTCCTCCTGTTACCCTAAGGAGAATTATGGGGAAAAGCCCTAACCCCAAAGTTCTCCTTTTAAATACTTTTGTCATCCTAAATTGGTTCAGTTCATTTCCATGTTTTTACTGCTGCCTTAGACCCTGGTAGAAAGATCTTTCTAATCCACTACTCTACTGTAAGAATACATTTATTGTATTCTATAGAGAATCCGCCAGAGCAGGTGTAGGCAAACTTCAGTCCCCCAGCTGTGGTGACACTACAAATGCCAGTAGGCATTGTAAGACAAGGCAATGATGGAGAGACATGAATATTACCTTGCAGACAATGCCCAGCTTACAGGCACTGAAGAGAGGGAGAGATGTGACCCAAGCCAACCCCTCCAGTTGCATCACCCGCCCCTCCTCACTATCTTCCACTCAGAAAACGTCTTATTTATTTTTTCTAAAAGAACACCACACATTCAGTGATTGGATTAGGAGACATGATGTCACATCCATGATCCTCCTCCACTCCAAGTCTGCAGGCACATTAAAATGGGGGTGGTGTTGAACATCAAATGGTAATTCCAATAGGCTCAATATAACATTTTCATGTAGTCAAGTTGTGCAGCTTGCCAAACACTGGTGGAAGTTGGTCCAAGTCTTGCTGTGCGAGAAAAGTCGATTTTTTTAATCAAGTCTGAAAATTCTCAGCATGGATGTTGAATTGGGGGGGGGGCGCATTGTTGTCGTCAAGTGTTTTGTTTTCCTTATTCAGCACTCCAAAATGCAAAGAAAATATAATGTATTGCAAATAACATCACATGGGTCTAAATAGCCAACATTTCGGGGCAGTGCAGGGTCTCTTCTTCAAGGCGCCACAGTGATGAACAAGGAGAAGAACAAAAAAGAAGCTAGGTGTATGGTCAGCTTCGGTCTGCTTACACTAGTGATGTGAGATTGCCCCTAATAAAAGATTCTTGCCTACTTCATGAGTTCCGTCTGTATTTTGGTTGTGTGTATAGAATATGTGTATACAAGGAATGTTCTCTTTAAAGTTGGGCTGGGTCAGTGTCAGTGTGTGTAAAGAGTTGACGCACTGGACATTCTTCACTGTGACATCACAATCCTGCATTCCATAACAGAACATTCCGTACTCAAAGCCAAAATTCCATAGAGGGCAAGTATACAAGATAATCGTATGTGATCACACATACTGCGTGTGGATATTCTACAATTACACTTTTCTGTTTCCTAAAAATATCTGTTCACTTTTTGCCTTGCAAACATTGCTGAGTTCAAGATTTTATTCTGCAAAGTACAAAAAAATCCTACAGCTCAGAAATGATCCAGTGATGGAAGTTTAATAATCCATCCATATGTCACAGTCATAATATCAATATACCAATGCACATGTTCAGCAAAGTCCTTTGGGGCATTAAGAGGCTGTGCAGACAGTTGATATGAAATACAAAATAAAAGTACATTAGACTGTGTTGCTGGAAAAGTGACATCCCTTCAGATTTAAATCCCTTGAAAAGCTTTGACGATTGGCTGCAGAGATGATCCGTTTTTGAGAAGAATGCAAGCTGCTAGAAACATCGAAGACTGAAGGCAGAAAAGATCCAAGTGACCCCAATGCCTTTTTTCTGTTTATCCCATAATATCTTTGAGATGAAAATAGAAGATAGCTTTTTCTATACCAGCTCAGAATGTCCAATGGTTGAGATCTTCATCTTAGCATCCATATGTCCTAAATAATAATGAAAATCTGACAACGATAATATTTCATTATAATGTTCTTACACTACTCCAGGGAGACGTGCGGTCAGGTGA